TTTTACTAAATTTTAATGGATCTAATATAATTTCTAATGATTCATTGTTTTTATCTATTATATTTGAATTATTAATTATACTATTATCTTTATTTGAATTATTAATTATACTATTATCTTTATTTAAACTATTATTTAAACTATTATCTTTATTTGAATTATTATTATTATTAAAATCAATGTCGTTATTAAAATTAATATTTAAACTATTTAAATCTTCAACTAATGATTTATCATTCAAATTATGTTCATTCATTTTAAAATTATTCAATTCATTTGAATTATAATTAACAGAATTAAATGTTTCATTTGGATTTAAAATTAACTTATATAAATCTTTAACTTCAAATGAATAGTCTTCTGGTAATAAATTTTTGTTACACTTAAACATTGTTAATTCTTCTTTGTTCATTTTATGTTCTTTTGTTTTAAGTAAATTATCGACCTCTACAGGTTTATAAAAATCAAGAAAATACTTTTCTCTTTTAATTTTCTTTTTCCCTTCAGATTTTTTATTTTTTCTATTTACTTTCCAAAAATTAGGTCCGAACTTATTAGGAAAATATTCAAATTCTGTTTTGTTATTTAAGCTCAATGATAAATTTGGTTCATTAAAAATGTCTTGTGTTTCTACATCATTTTCTTCTAGAGGGTTATCAAACTCACTAATGTGTCCTTCTATCATATCAAAATTTTGAAATACACTTGCATTCATTATTGTATCTTCCGGTTTAAATACTGTAAAATCTTTCTCTATATTATCATTTTGTATTATATCATGATCATTTAGATCTAAATCAACCTCATAATTATCAATTTCTTCTTGGTTACTATTTATATTAGTGTTATTCTCTATTGGATTTAAATTACTCAGATCTACATTCTTTTGTTTTTGAACATTTTGAATAATTTTTACTTCATGGTTGTTTTCAGTTAATTTTACAAAACTCAATTCTTCTCTTCTAATATCAACAAATTCTTTAAGTCCTTTACATAACGGCAATTTTTTATAATCAAATTCAATTTTTATTTCACTATCAAACTCAATTTCAATAGAATTTGGTTGTAAACACAAAAAAATACCTTCTCGACTAACACGTAATACTTCTGATAAGAAAAATTGATCATTTCTATTTAGAATTGATTGTGTAAGAGAGTCATAGTAACTATCTACTGTATCTAGACGAATGTTTATTGTATTGTCATTTGGAGCTAAAAAATCAAAATTATTCTTTCTGATCTTTTTAACTTTCTCATCCTCATTAACAAACATCTTCATAAGTTTAGAGGTGTAATCTGTAACATCATCAACCCTTGTTGCATACACTTTAATACATCCTCCTAGGACTGTTGATGCTTTTTGAAAGTTAATTCCTTTGTGCTCCTGGAACGTATTTAAGTCTTTAAAATATTCAATTAGATTTGAATTCCAAGTATTCTTTTGATTTATCTTATTTTCTATTGATGCTTTAACCCAGTAATCTAAGTCTTCTTTCTTTTCTTCCATAAATTAATGGGCTAATTTTTTTTATTCAAATAACTAAATAACTAACTCTAAATTATGCTTACTTTATATTTAAAATTACTATTGCATTAATACATGCAAAACAATCAAGAAGTCTTTACATTAATATTAACTAGCTACCAGAAGATATTACAAAAACTGGAATCGTTTGAGAATAAATTCAGTATCAATGAAGTAAATGATAAGATAGATCAATTAAGTTCACAATTGTCTAATTTAGAACAGAAAATTAATGAATCCAATGAGAATAAGTTTAATGAC